ATTATTTAAATCGGATGATACTTCAATGATCATTAGTACAAATTTTAAACTTCAATGACCATTTTGTGGTATTGATATAACTTCAGTGACCGTTTGTAAAATTAACCCAAACCAAAACACTTTATACACACGCAAACACGAACATGCGCCACTTTCCTAAAATTGCTCCTTTGAGAGTTTCAAAGGTCAAACTTGTAATTTATGTATCCCACGTGAAGGGTTGCACACATTTGCACTTTTAAGAATCATTTTGGATAAGATTTTGAAAATAGAGAAATTCCATTTGCATAGAAGAATGGGCACACAGAGTTCTTAGTTCTTACACCCTTTCACACGAGGGTTGGTCCGGAGGAATAAAAAAGTAAAAAAAAAGTTATCCACCCACCCCCTTTTGAGTGTATATAAGTGTGTGTTTCTTGAAAATATTAGTAATATTTTTGATTCTTTAAAATCGAACTCAAACCCATCTAATGTCATTTCTTCTCCGAATGAATCATATATCAATGGGATAATTGCAACGACCCAAAACATTTTCCTTTTTCGTAGATTTTATTTAAAATTTTCATTTGTTCCATTCACAGTCAGAACCTTTAAAATAATAGCAACACAAGGATAAAATGACGAAAATCGTCAATTATACCGTTAGTTGTCCAAAAGTTAACGATCTAACCAAAAAAGAAACAAAAAAGAAAATTGTAAAAGAATTATCTTCTTTCCAACCCTAACCATCACATCCGAACACACACCCCAACCAAAACCAAACCAAAATCCAACCATCATCACCGCGCTGCACAATTGTCACCCAACCTCCCACACCATAGCACCGCAATAGCATCCATCGCCACCATCGACCCAATCGCAAACAACCCCCAACTACCTGTCATCGCCACTGCACAACTCCACCATTTTCAGTCAACCGCGTGCTCAGTTACGGTGTATCAATCCTTTCTGTTCTTCACCTGTGATAAAATTTTCTTGTCAATTTGAAGTCTAAACAATCATGGAAATAAGTTAGGAATAACCAAACCTTATGACTTGAGTTGACGACAATCATATGCCACCTATATCTACATTCTCCAAAGTACCCAATTATATAGTGGCCACACCACAATGAGCAAACAACGACCAAAGTAGGTTGAAGATGACACTACACGAAATTCAAACATAGTCTCCGAGTTGAACAAATGGCAAAGGGCTTCTCTATCAAGTAAATGGGTTAATTACTTAATAATTTTTTTTAAAAATGTATCTCATTCGTCAGTAAACATTGAATCAGTTTTATTATATCGTTTAAACTTTAAAGTGGGTTCTTCTTGGATTTTGCTTTTGATGTCTTCTTGCTCTTTAGCTGAATATGGAAATTGAAGAAAAACAATAATTTTTTTTTTGTGGGATTTGGGAAAAGAGCGAAATGGGTAGTTTGCTCTTCAGCGGATAGGGAAGATAGCATTTATTAATTTAATTTTAAGTTTTTTATTTTGTTGATGCGAACGCAAGTTTACATCATATTCCTGCCTGTCATATGGGCAATTTTGTCTAAAAATAAAATAAAATAAAATCGAATGAAATCGAGCAGGAATGAATAAAACTATTCAATATCAATAAAATAGGTTTCAAAATTCGAAGTAATAATGTGAAAAGTGGACAATGATATAATTAATCCTGAAATAAATAAATAATAAACACAATGTCAAAGGTCAAAATTGTAAGCCCGCCTCAAACCATATTATTGAAACCGTCGACATGAAATAAAACAGACTGTACCCACAAAAAGAAATGGGGAATTTTCAAAAATGTCACTAAATTTGAAAATCCAAAAAAAATTGTCACTTTCACTTTTTGTGAGCAAAAATGTCACTTTTTTGGTGCAAAATGTCCAAAATATCCTCAATACCACATTTTTAGGAGCAT